CAAGAGCATTTGCTTGGGAAACAGCCTTCCTCTGAACATTCTCTCAAACTCTTTAATTCCTTCTCTTTTAAGCAGCTGTGAGTTTGTTTGCTTTTTAAATTACTACCACCCCTCAAAGTCACGTTTTGCCTTTTGAGCTACTACTCCGTGTAGAATTTGGACCAGCAATCTCACACATCTCAGATTCCTGTCAACTCTTGAAATTACTCCCAGCCTATCAGGTGAATAAACATCAAATGTGGAGTTCGAACCACTGTGATGACAGTTTGCTTCTGAATGCCAGCAGGAAATGGTGAGACACAAAACCACTCTCAAGTCGTGGCCCTCAGTGTGGACATCTTGATCTGAAAGAGAAGGCTGCAAGGAGACTTCAATGACAGTATTTAGGAGATTGTAAAAAGGAGGGAATCAACTTTTTACTTTGTTTTTTCAGGTATGAAAGCAACACGCCTTAAACACTTTCTGTGTAACTAAACAGAGATAAATCCCTTCTGCCATTTTCAATCATTTTAGTACAGAGTGTGCGCAGAACTTTTTAAGATGCTTTGCTTTTCTTATCTTTACCTGCCTAGGGTATTTAATGGAGGCTCTATTCAGAGCTCTAGCAGAGGTTTGGTTTGTCCAGTTTGGTCTATTGACCAAAACCCAATAAGAAGACCCAATAAGACCCAAACCACAATAAGAAGCCTGCCAGTTGCAACTAGTTTGCCCCATTGAGCGTTAATGGCAAGGCTTGTTTGCTTTCTTTGCTAAATCAAATAAACTGAATTTTGCAATTAATCGCCATATATTAAACATTCAGGCATGTTTAATCAGCAGAAATAGTTCCTTCTCAGTCTGTTGAAGCAGTGGCCTCACATGGTTGCAATTATCACGTGGTTCTGTTCTAGCTGTCCTGCCATAATTAGAATTGAAAGCAGTAACTTTCATGAGAGCTGATTCTCAACAGTGTCCCTTCGTTCTCTGGAAGCACACACACTCCTTCTTCTGCACAATTCAACTTCCCTATGTAACTTATATCCAGATGTCACACAGTACCCCTCTGGTTCAAGAAAACATGTAATATTTACACCTTTCACCAGCTCCCTACTTCCTGTAATCCTCTGCCTCAGTCTACCAATGTGCTGTGAGCTGCTGGTGGTGGAAACACTGCATGAAGTCCAGGCTGTGCTCCTGAACTTGCTTTGTGACATTCCATGTCTGATAAGTGAACTGGAGGGAGCAGAAAACCACTGATGATGTATGTGAGTGTATGTGCAACCTTCCACACCTGGGACTGGGCTCACTGGCTCAGTGAAAATGAGAGAACAGAAGGAAAATCAAAGTGAAGAAAGGATCTCTCTTTTCCCATCTCTTGTAGTGACTACAGCCCTTCCTTTTGCACTGAGGCCATGAAGATCCTGGATCAGCTCTACCAAGGGGTGGTAAAACAAGAGCTTGGCCTTATTTTCCTCATTGGCTCATTTGTACCCATTTATAGTCTGAGATCAATGGCTGCATGCCTTTGTGTTACCAGGCAGAAGCAGGAGCCCACAGCTACCTTTCACAGGTAAGATTTCTATCATGGCTAAGAGCAGCATTGTGCTCAAAAGGAGAGAAGTCCTCACACCACATGCTTGGGAACATCCTCCTTCTCCTGGGGTTTTCTTTGGGTTATGCAGGTGTGCAGTTTGTGGGACGTGAGTACACATGGCTCCAGCTGCCCATTCAGAACCCATACTGAGCAGCAAATTAAAAGCATTCTCAGCAGGCTGGGCAGATGACATTGAGTGCAGATATATGAAGAACGTCCAGCATGATCAAAACACAGGTAATCCTCAATTCTGGGAATGCACAGAACAAAGCAGTGCTGCAGCACGATGCCTGGGCTGCACGTTGTGCTTTGTAAGCAGTGTTTACCAGTATGGTACAGATGCTGAACAAGACTTTGGTGGGAGCTCACCTTCTGAGAGATAAGCATCTTTTAGGATCCAGTCTCACACTGCTCTCCAAATCTTTTCTAGCTCGCTGCCCTATTAGCCACACTGGTAAGAGCTTACAAGCCACAAAGAATTCCTGGTCAAATTACAGGAAATCATTTCCTTTCTTGACTTCAACATCCGTAACAAAAGTAGAGGGAGAGAGGGGTGGGCTATGGCCTTGTGCAGTGCCTCACTTTTCCCTCCTTCACTGGACATAAGCGCAGTCAGCTGAGCGCAGCACAAAGAGCACAGCCCCTCTGTGTGGGTCAGATCTCAGGGTGTGTTGTCTGTTCAACTGCTCCTGTGCCTCCAGCAATACCTTCTCACCAATTTGCTTCCTCGGTTTGTGACTGTTTGCACCTTCCTGCTTGGTTGCTATTGCTCCTGGCAACATAAATATGATCCTGGGGCTACTCAGTGGCTTAACTGTTGGCAAGGCTTCCATACACACGCTTATCGGTACAGAAAGTAACCACAGTTAATACCCAGACTTCCAAGAACATCTTATGCAGAGGAACCCCAATTATTATTATTGCAGAGTACTTGTATGGCAACCAGAACTGCAGTTGGACACCCAAAACCACTTCCATCTCTTTTCAAAGGAGGACAGCTTCGTTCCAGTGGTGGAAATGAACAGCCATACCTGAATACACTGCTATGGCCTGCGCTCAGCTGAATGACAGACACTGCCCAAGGGCAGAGGAAAGGCCCATCACCAGCTGTGTCCTGTAACTGTACAAAGTTAAGCTTATCATCAAACTGCCACGAACAAACGGGACGATTCTTCCGAGCCACCACACCAGGCTCATCCATACAGGGGCTTCAGAAGTGGATTTTCTTCATAAAGTTACTGCTGAGAGTCTGATGCCTCAAGGTGAACTTTCCACCCACAGAAAGGCAAATCAGCGCCATTTTAAAAGGCCACCCTGCAGAACTGTTCGCCATGATTTGCTATTGCCTCACATCACAAATGCTGAGCTGCTAAATTCTGCTGTTTTTTTCCTCTCAAGATCCTTCTATGCCAGTTTGAGCTGATCTAAGCAGCAAATATGGGAAGAGGATACGTGCTTACAAACCAGAAGATGTTTTGATCCATAAGTAAAACAGGCACTTCACCAATTTTTTTAAACCATCTCAAGTCTATATAAACCAAACACAGGTAAAGGACAGCTGCTAAGAGACTTTTGGGAAACAGTGGATCTGTTTCTGTAATAAAATCTGCTCCCAGCACTTTATAAACATCAAATAAGTGCAGGACAAGCATCTTCTGGGAAAAAAAAAAAAAAAGTTGAATATTTATGAAAGGCTGCAATACAATAATGATAAAGATCCCTGGCAAGGCCTGCATCCTTTGCAGTCGCCAGCACGCAGAGCTGTTCTGCCCATTCACTACTGACCACGTTTTGGTCAGCAAAAACAAGAACAGTTCAACTGCTGGCTTTCTCAATAAGTCCCTTTGTGACCATTTTTCCTTCTTGGTGTTTGTACCAGTGAAACAAAAAGAGTCAAGTCAAACAGACATCTGTAAGTCACTCTTTATTTTGCAAAGATCGCTTGAAAAATAAAGACGGAAGTTCTTCCAGGCTTTGGAATATAACCATCACAAAGCGCAGAATCACAAAAACTGCATTTTTAAAAGGTGTTCCCTTTCCCCACCCTCTTTTCAATTAACTCTTCCATTGTGGAGCAATCCACAACAGTTTTAAGGAAAAAAAATGTGCATTTTGAGCCAACGTTAGAAATAACTCAAGATTGGTTCAGTGCAGGAGCTGCTACATCACACTTCAACAAAGGCACATACTAGGATTCCCACGTCCATACTTTGTAACCCCTATCTGACTTTCTCCAAAGCTCACATCTTCAAGAGCAGATCAGAGTTATTACAAAGCAGTCAGGTTAAGCTCAAAACAGCTGTCCAGCGTGGAACTGGAGGAGTTAAAGTGACAGCAAAGTAGGTGCAGTGCAATGGAACAGCCTGCAGACAAAACGCTTTCTCCTTTACCTTTGTAATCAGCATAGTCAGAATTTCTTGTAAACCTGGCTCAGAAGAACGGAAGAAGGCTCTGCAAAGTAAGTTAGGGCAAGCAAGCAGAGCTGGAAAGGAAATAAAATGGCTGCTCTCATCTCAATCAGAAAAAAGAACTCTATCAAAACAAGGATTTCAAGATTCGAGTACAGCATACCTACAACCAGAAATGAGGGGGAAAGTTAAAATTAAAATAGCTCCTGGGTGGAAACAGCCTAAGAAGGCCCAGAAGCATCTGCTGAATTTCAAAGATACCTAAGAAAAATGAAGACTTAATGCATGTGGTTTTGACTTTTTTTGCTTGCTTTTGTTCATAACTAAGAACATCAGTTTCTGTCTTTAAATTGTCCTCAATACCAGAATCCTGTTAATCTACAAAAAGTAAATCAGAAGACCATCTCACAGTAGCCCAAATTTTAGCAGCTTGCTGTTTTGGCAACTTCTTCAAAATCCTTTCCACACAGATAACAGATCAAGCACAGCAGTGTCCCAGATGAACTGCATTTGTTCACTCATTATCACAGTTTTAATTAAGGATACTTCAGGCTGTGTTCAGTAGTTACTTTTGAACATTGCTTTGCTCATCTCAAAACAGCTTTCCAGACATTTGTGCAGTTCAGCAAGGCTTCGCAGTGTCTCATGGCAGATTTCATTCATACAGCAGTCAATTTGCACAGGTTTCCAGCAGTGCAAGGCAAGCACACCACACACCACGAGCCCTCCACTACTGCATGGAAAGGCTTCTGTTAACCTTCCACTATTCCACCTTCACCTCATCATTGAAAATATGCTTAGAATTTGATTACAACCAATTAACTCCATTAAGAATTCTGGTGAGTTTGTCAGCACTAGTTGTACTCAACAACCATTCTGAACCTGATGAGAAATTGGGTAATGAATA